TTTTCTTTTTCATCTTTTTAAATATTATATCTCTTCCTCACCCCCTTCAATTTGGGTCCATCTTTCTAACCTTGAACCATTGATCTTTTTACTTCTGAAACACCTCATGGATTGTAGTGGCTCTAAAGACCACCTCTGTGCTGATGATTGGAAATATCTCTTTCTAGTCATGGCTAAGTTTCAGACTCACATAGCCTACTGATTCTCAACCACAGGAAGCAACTGTCCCACAGGAGCTGTTTGGCAATGTCAAGAAGACATCTTGGTTGTCACCAATGAGTGGGTGAGATACTAGTGGCTAGAGGCCAGGAAGTGCTAAAGGTTCAGTGCTAAACCTTACACAGCCTGTCAGCCATCTCCACCAAAGCCCTAGCAGTGAGTGAAGAAACCTCCAAGTGATTCCAGCCCCCAGCTATATGATTATCTCTAACCAAAGCCCCAGACATTGTAGAATAGAGATAATCAACCCTGTTTAATCCTGTCCTACTTCTCAGTTTCATAATATGTGAGCATAGTAAATCAGTGGTAGTTTTATGCCACTAATTTTCCCCCTTCTTTTATGTAGAAGAAACATACCACCCTTCAGCTTCTACTACAAGGCTGGCAGCCTTAAGAACTCCTTTATTAATGTAGCGTGGTATGAACGTATTTCTGCTCCCAAAGGAATGAGGAACAGACATTTCTACATGGATTATGCCACTAAGTTTTAAGGTACAGGTAGTCAAGTTACAAACATTCAACTTACATACAACTTGAAATTATGAATGGAGGCTTTTAGAGTAAACCCCTGAATTACAAACATCCGGCTGATGTATGACTCATACTTAGGAACGAAGGCTCTTACAGGTATTAGGTGAATGTACCTGTTCCAATTTACATACAAATTCAACTTAAGAACAAATCTATAGAACCTATCTTGTTTGTAACTCTTAGACTTTCTGTCGTTTGTTACACGATGGACAACTGGACAGCTCCCCATACCTCGCTCACCTTTTCCTAGACCTATGATCTGCCCATATTTCCTTGTAGTTAATGATGAGGCAAGTTACAGGGTTACCCGTCAGAAGCTGGGGATTCCCCTCTTGCTTGAACCTTCACATTTAACCATTTAGCAAATCTTCCCAATGTTAAGCCATTCATATTTCTTGCATTTGTCTTTCTTTTACAACCTAATTTAAGCCCCATCATCTCTGCCAGTACAATTACAAAAACATCCAAACTATTCTCCAAGTCTTGCCTCCATTAAAACCTTCCTGCATACAGCTACCAAAGTGACAGCTATTAAACGTGTAGCTGCTCATGTACCAATCCCTTTTCAGCCCCCCAATTTCTTCCTGTTGCTTATTAACAATGTTCTCATGCCTCTGGGCCTCCCGATGGAAGGCCTTTGCCCATTTTCTTTATGTTCTAATAATATTGAATTGCTTGTAGTTCCCTCCCCAAACTCTTTATTCTGATTGTTGCTTCTACCTAAAATACCTTTCCCTCATTCTCTTTCTTTTTCTACTCATCTTCGATACCCAGCACAAGCATCTCCTCTACAAGGAAGGCTTCTGAGACTTCTCTAGGCTGGGCTAAATACTATCCTCTAAGTTTCCACAGACAATACTGTGCTCTTTGATCTTACCACATGCTTGTGAAATCATCCACCTGTGCCTCAAAGGTAGCAGTCTGTCCTGTGCTTGGGTCCCAGCAGGATGCACAGAGCTGGTCACGTCATACACTTTCAGCAAAGGCTGTGCAGGCAAAGACTACGTATTCACCAAACTGTTTCCTCTGTCCTGGGCACAGATGGACTAAATCTCCCTATTTCCCTTGTGGTAAGATGTGATCATGTGACCAGACCTACCTAGTTGACATTTTCCATTTCAATGTTGTTTGGCTCATAAAAGCTTCCACATAAATCTTTTACTACACAATCTCTTCATAGAAATTATTGGCTGATGCTTGTTGTAGAGTGGTCTGGAGATATCAACAGGGAATGAGACAGATGCAGAACCCAACCTTCCTCTCTCACATGTGGTGGGGTGAATAATGACCCTCCCAAATATGTCTGTATCCTAACCTCTGGAACCTGTGGGTGTGTTACCTTATATGGCAAAAAGAACTTTATAGATGTAATTAAGTATCTTGAGATGAGAAGATAATTCTAGGCTATCTGGGTGAGTCTAATGTAATCATAGGGGGCCTTACAAGAAGGAGGCAGAGAAGCAGATGTAACAACTATAGCAGAGGTTGGGGTTACGCAGCCATGAGCCAAGGAATGTGAGTAGCACCCAGAAGCTGAAAAAGGCAAGAGAAAGGATTCTCTCCTGTCTCCAGAAGGAATGCAACCCTGGGAACATCCTTATTTTTGTACCAGGGCTCAGTTGGACCTTGACTTCTAGAACTGTAAGATAATAAATCGCCATTATTTTAAGCCACTACATTTTGTTTCCTATTATAGCAGCAATAGGAAACAAAACACCCTTATTAGCCTTATGCTCCTTAGGTTATAGAAGAATCATAGGATTCACCACAGAATCTCACAAAATAAGATGCATTCCTATAGGGCAGCTGGGTAAAAGGGAAGCTGGTCAAAGGGTAGGACATATAGATAATCACAGAATGATGGGTTTAGATAGCACTTGGGAAAGGCACCCAAGGAGGGGCTCATTTGTAAGGTTGATTGCAAAGTAAAACATAGCTAAAAGTCAGGGAGAGGGTGATGAGTGATGATTGCAGGACTGGAACCCCGTGGAAATGAGGATCCATCACACAAAGCTTGGGAAGTGCCTCCTTAAACCACTTAAATTGAGTGCAGAGCACAGATCATAACTGAAATTGGGAGATAGTTCCTGCTGTGTACTAGACTTTGGAAGAGATGCAAGTAGCTATAATCCTTATAATTTAGGCTTTCTCATAAATTTGGGTCCATGATGGCACAATTCGAAATTTTTCATGAGCAATATGAACATAAGGCATGAAAATCCAGAGCTACTTCTGGAAGTCCTTTCCCAATCACAAAGGAGGTTTTGAAGGAGCTTTTGAACTTTCTGAACCAACTTGCGTGTAGGTACAATGATCCTTAATGTTCCTTTTCCCAAGGTGTCTTCAGCCAACATCCCCAGTTCCTTCTAGGTGATGGGGACCACAGACAAGACTTCTTTAGAGACAGGAAGGCAGCAGATGTTGTGACAGGCCTTCTTCACTTTCTGCTCCTTTGCCTAACTCTTACAGTATGAGACCAGAATGCTAGTGTTCCTGGGGTGAATATAAAACGGGTCCCTGAGAACCAGCAAGCATCAACCTTGACAGTTGCAAATGGAGAGCTGAGTCTCCCTGCCCTTCTGCATCCAGCGCATAGTAATTTCTTGTTTGTCTGTTTCCTCTACTAGAGTATAAGTTCTCCAAGATCAACAAATTTGTCCTAGTGTCCCTCGCACAGTGCACACAGTGCCATTCCTTAGTACGTGTTCAACAAACCAGTGCTAAAGGAACAACTGAACGTTAAATTTCAGCATCGAAAAACTCTTTTGCAATGCAGAGGCAAGTTTGATGCTGTTGCTATTGCTCCACAAAGTGGTAATACATTGCATTTCTTTCTAGTTTTTATTTTTTTATTGTTTGGGATTCATTGAGGGTACAAAGAATTAGGTTACACTAATTGCATTTGTTAAAGACCCTCTTATAATTGTATCCCACCCCCAAGAAGCGTGCCATACACCGTGATTCCCCCATCCTCCTCACTTCTCCCCTCTCCCCACTTGCTCATTGTATTCGTTAGAGTTATTTTCTGTAAGATATTTGAAGCTGCCAACAGAAAATAAAAGTTTTCTTCTGGTAAAAATGCACACATAAAACAACCTCTGTTTACATCTAAAAGTTCTCTCTTAAGACAATGAATGCTGAATAAACACATGAAAAAAAATGCTCATCGTCTGTAATCATCAGAAAAATGCAATTCAAAACCACTCTGAGATATCACCTAATCTTAGTAAGAATAGCCCACATCCCAAAGTTCTGAAGCTGCAGATGCTGGTGTGGATGTGAAGAGAAGGGAACACTTACACACTGTTAATGTACTGAAAACTCATATAGCCTCTTTGGAAAGAAGTATGGAGAATCCCCAAAGAACTAAAAGTAGACTTTTCACTTAATCCCATAATCCCATTACTAGGTATCTACTCAGAAGAAAAAAAAATCATTTTACCATAAGGACATATGTGCCAGAATGTTTATTGCAGCTCAATTCACAATCACCAAGACGGGGAAACAATCCAAGTGCCAATCAACACACGAATGATTAATAAACTGTGGTATATGTATGCCATGGAATACTATTGAGCCATTAAAAAAAGATGGAGACTGTATTTCGTTTGTACTAACCTGGAGGGAGTTGGAGAACATTCTCCTTAGTGAAGTGTTATAAGAATAGAAAAGCAAGTATCCAATGTACTCAATACTAATATGAAACCAGTAGACAAACAAATACCCACACAAGAGAAAACACAATTGAATTCAAGTGGGGAGGAGAGGAAAGGGGGAAGGGGCGGGAGGTGGGAGGGAGGTTGGTGTGCCCTCACCTAATGGGCACAATGGAAGAGTGTACAGCACGCCCACACCTTCTGGGTGAGGGCCACAACAACTTGGACTCTACCTAACAAGGGCAAACAACGTAACCTAGTCATTGTGTCCTCATATTGATCTAAAATTAAAAAAAGAATTGTAAAAAAAAAAAAATGCACCTTAATACTAAAAAAATTTCTCTTCTTTAATATTAAAAAAACCCTAATGAGTGGAATGTTTATAAAACACACATTTTTTTTTTCACTCCCAAGACCTATTGGCATAGATTCTGGAGTTTCTATTGTCATTACTTCCACAAGTGTTTACTGTGTACAAGACATCGAAAGGATTAGTCCCCTACCTCAGTCTGCCAGAGGAGATAAGAAAGTGCATAATGTCTGTTTGGCCAAGTATAATGTGATAAGAGTGAGAATGAAGGATACAAAGTGCTGCAACTTCCAAGGATGTGGAGGAAACTGGGAGCTCCCTGCTCTCTGTTTAGCCTGATTGGAGTTTACCCACAGCTTCCAGAAACTTAAATTTCCATAGTTAGTGTTTCAGTCATGTGATAGGTTTACAGGAGGGCCAGTGTCCCTAGTAGCCTAACAACATTTAATTGCAGGGTTTTTGATGGAACTACAGAAAACCCAGTTTCTCTCTTTTCTCTCGGCTTGTTAAGCCAGTGAAGACAAGCTTGGTACTCATGGGGGCTGTCACACAGAAACCCTGACCTAGAATGTCAACACACACACACACCCCAAAAATGGAGGGAGAAGAGGGGAGGGGGAGGGGAGTTCCTGGATCTAGCTCAAGACTCTTTTGGTTGCACAGAAAAATGTTTTTCTCTTTTTCTCTACATGTGCCAGTGTAAATTATATTTCTGTCATTTGCAATCACAAAGATCCTGGTAAATCCAGTGATGATGAGTTTGACTTTGAACATATAAAATTTCAGGTTCCAGAAGGATACTTTGGTGGACTGTAACTCAGACGAGAAGTCATAAGCTGGGATACATATTCAAGACTCAGCTACGTGAAAGGGATATTAAATCTCTGGAATCAACAGAAATCCCCTGAGAGAAAGAATATAGAGAAAAATGGAAGAGAACAAAGAGCAGCGTAACGCATAATGATAGGAACCAAGA